CATTAAAACGAGGCAAAATGCGCTAAAACGCGGCATTGCAACACATCTAGTGGAGACCAAAGGAGACATGCAGGGTCTAAAAGAAAGAGAACCTGTCACCTAAAAATCATCTCATAGAAGACATAGGGATGAAAAAAGAAGGTTAAGTAAAAAAAATGTTTTTATTGCAAAAAAATAAAGTTACACCCAAGCATATAACATCCCCCTGAAAAAAATTGAGCCCCACCCCCACATATACACACGTACGAACATAAATGCACACGTGAAAACGACAATTGAGATACCCATGTTACATATCGCCGTGCACGCTAGAGGGCAATAATTCTAGCACAAGACATCCTCCGTAACACTAAACTGATGTCCTAGAGGGGGCTTTTGAAGCGTCACCTATAGAAAATACAAGGTACTGAAGTTTATCGCCATTTTGTAGGCGCACACAAATTTAAGGTTTTGCATGTTGAGTATCTATTTACTATGTGCAACCTCATCTTTTATATTTTACCAAAAAGTTGGGCAATTTATTGCGTTTGTTTGCCCTAAGATTCACTTTAGTGTGTTTTTTTACAGAAATGTAGATGTTTTTTTACTGCAACCTTTAATCTAATATCCTAACCTAATATCACGTGACATAAAAAAAAATGGGACTTTATTCTCTAGGGTGTCTGCTTTCCAAAAATATATATAATGTTTAGGGAGTTTGTGTAATCTTCAGGCCTGAAATAATTTTTTTATACATGTGAGCAAAAAATTACAAAACACAGCCCTGGCAGCAAAAGGGTTAAAGAGAGAAAAACAGTGAACAGTATCATACTTTTTTCTGTTGCAATAATCATAGCTACTTTTCCTTAAGTTTGTCTTTGTTGCAGAATTTTAGTAGAAGTTGATATCATTCTTGGCCTCATCATGATACACACCTTTGTAGAAACTTGGACGATCGTTTTTCTTATAGCGTGTACTAAGCTTAAGACAAACAGGTTCCTGCATCCACCCATGAGAGGTGGATGGAAGGATTCTCCTGGGACTCTGTACTGTCAGAATACACTGATCGGCTGCAGCCGGCTGATCAACAAAAGTTATGCAACAAACCTCATAAATAAAAAATATATATTTTAAAAGTGAAAAAATAATATATATATATATATATATATATTAAAATTATCAAAGTGTTGAATAAATAAATATGAAATTGATGAATAAAAAAGTGTTTTAAAATAAATGGTGTCCAATAAAATTTAATTTTCCAATCCAATATTGTGTCCACTCTGTGATTATAATCAGAATAAAAAAAATCGCTTTTAAAAACGTATATATTATTTATATATTATAAATATATAATCCCCTCATGTTTTGCATTGTATTGGTATTGTTCTGTCACATGTTCTGTCCCCCTTTGTAATGTACAGCGCTGAGCAAACTATTGGCGCTTTATAAATACTGTATAATAATAATAATAATAATAATATATATTATTTTATCACTTTTAAAATATATATTTTTATTTATGAATTTTGGTCTTGGATCACATATTATACGGATAATATTATTATCATCATTTGAGCACTATTGCGCTTTATATATTATAGTTCACTTAATTAATTTATTTAGTGGAGCGCGACACATATCAAATGCATTTTCACTAGTTTATTCACACAGGTATATGAGTATGTGTAACAGTGTCAGCAAACCACAACAATTATATTAATTATAATAATTATAATTTATTATTTTCTAAGATTTATACTGTATGCACATGATTTATTCACCATAGTAGCTCGTAAGCACTATTATATTTATTATGCAACAAACCTGTTCAGCAGAAGCCGATCTAATAACTGACTTCTATAAACAGATAGGGCCACACATGGATCAAAATCTAGCTTCCTGCTGAACCAGTCAAATTTTGATCCATCTGTGGGCAGCTAAATGCAGTTGTAAACCTCAGACATGGAATGTGAACACAGCATATCCCTCTATAATGTGTACTTGTCTCAATCCAGAAACTTAAGTGTCATTTCTGTCTGCTGCCTCATTCCTCTGCTGTCAGCAATGGTGACAGGGAGGGTTCTCCAGCAGATTGACAGCATCAGCTGTGTTCCTGCAAGCTGTGTGAAGAGGGTGTGTGATTGGTTCCTTCCAATCAGCTCCCAGAGCTCTTCTCACTGAGTGTAACTTAGCTCCCTGCCCCCTGATTTTCAGAGCTGAGAGATCCTGTGAACATTCTGCACTTTGAATGGATGCAGGGGACAGATGGCTGCAGATAAACAGGTACAACTTATGTAGGAGGATTTGTTTCATTTCTGTGTATCACCTGAAATCAAAATTGACAGTCTGTGTGAAAAGATCCTGAAGCATTCTTTCATTGTACATCCAATGACTATGACCCACCTGGTAAATAAGAGAGTGCAGTGATCCATTTGGCATCCATTGTGTTACAATACCCAATGTGTTTGGTGTTCGATAAATCCCCACTATTGGTGTCACATGTTCTGATTTTATCTTGCTGATATACTCGATATGGTTGAGGACCGCTTGTCGGGACCTAAAAGGGAGAGAGTGTATTTTTAAGATCATATGGTATATATTAGTGAATGTGCACTGATACAGTGAATGTAGACTGATTCACACAAGCTGCTTCCTATGGGGGTGCGTCTGCAGGTTCACACTGAGAAGAGGAGCTAAGAAGTGGAATAGCCAGGAGCGCCAGCAGGGAACCCCAGAAGGGGAAGTTTGGGGCAGTTCTGTGTAGTATCATTACACAGAGCAGGTAGGTATAACATGTTTGTTATTCCTCCCCGATGGGTAGCCTTTGTCCTCATGCACACTGGACATTTTTACAGCGGCTGTTTTTGGCTTTTGACACTTTTTTCTATAGTCAGTAACCCCTCAGCATGTTATCCTATGTGTCCATGCACACCTAGACTTAAATCAATGTTTTTTGGGTGGAAAAAAATCCCAGGACTAGTGGGTTTCTAGAGTGTTTTAGTTGCAAAAATGCTCTAACACTGAAAACCGCTGAAAAACATAACAAAACACTGCAAACCGGCGCTTTTGGACATTTTTTGACCAAAAATAAAAATTTTTTTTGGTCAAAAAAAGCTAAAAAATCATAAATGCGGCAAAATGCGGGTTTTGATGGCTTCAGCTCTGTTCCTGTGATCTAAGTGGAGGGGGAGTGTCTCTTTCCTCCAATCAGCTCTCAGAGCCCTCACTGAGCTCTGCAGGGTCTAACTTCAGCTCTCCGCCCACTTTTTTCTGAACTCCCAGACTAGCCTTAAAAATTCAGCACTTTGAACAGATGTAGAGAAGAGAAGACTATAGATAAACAGGTAGAACTCATGTAGGAGGATATGTTTCATATCTGTGTGTCATCTGGGGCCAGTCACTTCCCTGGGTACATGTGAGGGTTTACAACCACTTCAGTGTTGATTTCACATGACCACAGCTCCCTGACTATAGTTTAGACCAGGGGCGGACAGACAACTCATGGGGCCCCCGGGCAATATGGGATCATGGGGCCCCTGTCTCCTAGCCCAAACTCAAAAAAGCCTATAAAAAAGGTACCAGGGGCATCTCATGGTGCCCCCTACTGACCCCGGGCCCTCGAGCGGTGCCCGAGTTTCCAAATGGTCAGTCCGCCCCTGGTTTAGACATTAGCAAGTGAAGTTCCACAGTGTCCAGTGTCCCCACTAAGGCACCTTAAGCCCCCTCCACACTATTTTTTATTATGGTAAAGTTGAACAATGCTTTGTAGCTCCTTGCAGTGCATGTATTAACACCATCGACAATGTAAATGGGCCCTAAATGAAACCCCGGGTGGGGGGGGGGGGGGGGGGGGGGGGGGGGGGGGGGGGGGGGGGGAGGGAATACTGGACAAAAAACATGTTGATAGGAATACAAAAAGATAAATAACTGGATTTGGCTCATTGCCTATAGTTAAACCACATTCATACAGTGTGTGCAGTACATTTGTTTTGTCTATTATCTGGCAGCTCCTCTATATAAGTTAAGACCTTGTGTGAGCTCTAGTTGACATAAGGTTAGGTTCATCTGAGCTTCACTTACCCAGAGGCCAGTACATAAATCCAAAGAGCATAACAATGATATCTTTGCATTTTAGTCAAAATGTAGGGTCAGCATCTAGACTGCGATGTTGAAGTTCATAATTGACACATTCATGTAAGTCCAGATTTTTGTGCAGTTCTTGGCTGTGTTCACAAACGTCTGACACAGATCAGCCCCTGCTGCAGCTTCTCACCTTGTTACTGGCTACAGTCTTATGACATTACAGTCCAATCATTGAAAAAGGAGACTGAGGAAGCAAAACAATTACTTTATCTTTGTCTAAGCAAAGTCAATGGCCTGGTGCAAAAGGCCTGCTTTTCCATTGGCCCTGCATGCTGAGGAATTAACCACATATCGGGATCATCGGACAGTGGAGGTAAGCATCAGCTGCTGGGTGAGCAGACATAAGGTAAGTAATTTAATATATTCATTATTTCCTTGATGAAATGTGGTAAAATTGTGGGTCAACTACCTGGTTTTACCACCCCTTTGCCTCCCATGTGAACTCAGCCATAACGACTGCACTTTTATGGTAAATTCTAGAACACTGTTATTGAAATATAGCTCACATGCAGCTCTGTTTAAAGCGGAGTTCCACTTACGCTGTCAAAAAATAAAAGTCAGCAGCTACAAAAACTGTAGCTGCTGACTTTTAACAAACACTTACCTGTCCCTCAGTTCCGTGGTGTTTCCCCTGCAGCCCGTTTCACCGGCCGTCCTGTATTCCAGGAGGCCGGCATCTTCAGTGTGGGCACCCGGCTGTGATAGCTTGCGGCTTCACTGCCGGGTACCCACTGCGTATGCGTGAGAAGCGCTGCGCTTCATGAATAGTCCTGTAGTCTTCTGGGACCTGTCACATGTCCCAAAAGACTACAGGGAGGGAGGGAGGGAGGGAGGACACCTTCCATTTCCGATCGCCTAGGTGATCGGATCGGAAGTGGGAGCGGGTACCTGTCAAATTCAGGTACCCGCTCCCCCCTGCCCCCCAAAGGTGCCAATCCTTAATGGGGAGCAGTCCTTAAAGCGGAACTTCCCCTTTTGGGTGGAGCTCCGCTTTAAGTTTCCCCAGTTCTGATTTGAGTGCACTGTAATAGATGTTGCAGATGTGTGTAAGAGAAGACGCGTATTAAATGCTTTGGTGTGCTGCAGTGCCTTTCTTGTGTATAAAAATATGCTGTGCTGATTCATATACCAAAAAATCCATTAACATAAAATACCAAATTCACATAAAACAGAACTGGGCTAACTATAGACATGTTTGTAATTTTAATCCAACATCATCGCATAACAGTCCTTCATATAAATATCCAGGAACAAAACTATGACACAATTCACCAGTCATGATCAAATCCACATAGATCAGATTGTGTAATAGCAGACATCTCTACCAAAAAACATTTAGGCACACGCACACCTTATGAACTGGCCTACATTAGGTCTTATCGCACCATTAATTAAATCAGGCAGACTCCATAAACCCTGCTGGAGTCTCCCAGGGCTCAAGCAATCCTCCTCTGAACTCTCACTCGGTGAATCAAGCAATCGTTCTCAGTTCAGGTGATAAAGCTTGGATCAGTGTTCAAAAAGATACAAAAACCGACATAATGCTCACTCTGGCTGCATGGAAACCTCTCTCTCTGAGTGCTACCAAGCCATGTCCTATGGGTTTTGTTATTATGTCATCATCAGGTACATCAAAATGACAACACGAAGAGGGAGTGGCTTGATGTGAGAGAGGTTTTTTTTATTGCAACCAGAGTGAGCACTATGTCAGTATTTGTTTTATTTTTGTTTACTTTTGAGCGCTGATCCATGCTTTATCACATGAAGTGAGAGGTTTGCTGGAGTTACTAAGAGAGAGTTCTGGGGAGGATTGCTTGAGCCCTAGATGAGTCCAGCTTGGAATACAATTGATTTGATTAAAGATTCACAAAGACCTTCATGAGGGCCAATCCATAAGGTAAGCGTGTACCCAAAAGGGTTTTGGTAGAAGTATCAGCTATTACACAATTTTAACTACGTGGACTTGATCGCGGTTGATGGATTGTAGGACAGTTTTATTCATGGACATTTATATGAAGGACTGTTATGCGATGATGTTGGATTATAATTACACACATGTCTATAGTTAGCACAATTTGGTATTTGATGTTAATGGTTTTTTGGTATATGAATCAGTGCAGTATATTTTTATACATGTATGTTGAGTGATTTTTAACTTTCATGCTTGCAGCTTTAGTTTAGCTCACTAATGGTGTGCAGAGTCACATTTTTCACTTATTGCCTTTCATTCTGAATGGCACCCCCAAAAAGATTTCCCAATGCATGGTAACACACTACCGTGCAGTTGCAGTGGGCTGCAATAAAAAAAAATGGAGCCTACACAATTGTCAATACGGAATGGTGCATTGGGCAGCTTATTTAAATGATTAGGCTGCCTAAATGCTTCACAAATGAGCAGGCTGGTGTGGATGGTCCCAAATGCAGTAAGCCATTAAGTGTTTGCAGTATTATCAATTACACATAATACCAGCAATGCTGGTTTTTACCATAGATCAGCTTACCTGTCGTTAAGTCCAGACAAAGACAAAAGTTTTATGAGGACATCGATATGTGTGGGTCCATAGGTGGATTTATAGACCTTTTCTGTGCTTGTATCCACTACAGAGTAGCTCTTCAGGTCATCTTGTTTTATCTGGGGCAGAGACATTTCTGACAGCTGGGGTCCAGTCCACATCCAGCAGAGGACACTATGGAGTACACAATGGCAGATCTATCTACTACATGATCCCTGAAGTTCTCCTTGTAGGTAGAAGACGGAAGCCAAGAGCCTAAAAAATGAAAAAAAATCTCAATATTTCTAAGCAGGACAATCACACCTTATAACATCATTCTCCAGAAATGTTCAACACTTCTTGTTCTGGCCATTCCCATAAATGTGTTGAAAGTCATCCCAACACACTAATGGCTTGTCCACACTTGTTTTATCTCTGAAAAATTATCCTAATTCGGATCAGAGAATTTGACAAGTGGTAAGGATGCGTTGCATTGCTGTTAATCCCATGGGCACGTGTACACCCCATGTGTACATTCGTGGCTGCTGCCCAAAGGGGTAATGGTTGGGGGGGGCAGTAAAAGTCAATATTAGAACAATCTGTTTTTCCACTCAAAATACTGGGCCAAGGATGTTTGATCCAAAATGTCTTATAAGACTATGTATTCAACCAAATGGAATGCTTATGTAGTGCTTACTCCCGAAGGGGCCACTGAGAATATACCCTGGTCTCCCATAGTAGGCTGCAAGAGGCTGCAAGTCACACAAGCTCAGTCCCACACACATCGACAATTTGGTCTTCGGGATGTCTTTTTAGTATTTATTGCCAAAGAACTTTAGCAAGAGAGTGATCAGTAGCAACTGTAGGAGGACAAACTTTTCTCTAATCTTCAAATAGCAACTTTTCTGGATGTATTGGGGAATGGCCAGTGTACCTAGGCCCCTACAGCAGCAATCCGTAAAACCACAGATATCAGTCCCCAGCAGGTCTTTACTCACAGTGTCCCAGAAGCTTCCTGCCACCCAGCATCCACAGGTAGATCTTAAGTAAGGGAGATCCTTCTCTAGACCCAGTACTTCAGTGCAGTGCTCCCCAGCAAGTGAAATCCTCTGGCAATCTTATCCAGGCCCTCAGCCCGGTAGCTGCTGAAGCCTGCACTGCAGTTTCCTGTGTCTCTAGCTAATTCCCAGGTGCAACAGCCCCCAAGGAGAACTGAAATCTACCTATGAAGGCAAAAGAACCATCTGCTCAGGCCTCCCATATATTTATCACCTCCCCAGCCACCTTCTGGACATCATCTTCCTGGGATTGGCTGGGACATGACAAATATTAAACTAATCATTTGAATCTCCCTGCCCTAGGCTCTGGAAGCTTTTGTCAGAAGCATGTGGGAGAAATCAAACTCACAGCTGAGGAAGCTCTGAACAGACCTACATAATTAATTGCTACAATGGAACCAAAAACTAAATTTACTTAGCAACCTATCTAAAAGAGGGTGCTACATTTAAAACAGAACTTCAGTCAAAAATACCTAGAGGAAATGAGTAGCCCAATGAGAAAAAAAAAACTAAACCGGGTTTTGCTGCAATATTCACCTTTAATCCAAAGATTTTCCCCACAATACGTCTTTTCTGCTACTGGATGTCCTGTGTCTGATAGCCAGCATCATTCAATCCACTTCCTCTAAACCCAGGTCATCTTGGGCCTGCCCCAGCCTATGACTGAACAGTGAAGAGAGAAGCAGCACAGTGATGAGTTCATTTCTCTGTCACTTTGCTTTCTCTTTATGTCAGCATGTAATCAGGTGTTTCCAAAGGGTTAACGTTTTTTTTTCTGCACTGACTCATGCATCTGGGTCCAGCTGGCGGTTTTGCAATTAAAACTGTTACAATGTTTATGTGTACTGTGTTCTTGGGTTAACCTGCTAAGTAGATGGATATGAGAGGAATAAGTTAATGTTGCTGGCCAACTTTTCCTGCCAAAATTCTGAAATCCACCACCCCCTGCAGGTCATCCCATATACATAGGGGTTCTTCTGTGCCCCCAGAGGGCTTCTGCTAAATTACAGCAAAGATGTAAACTGTTATTCTGCTGGAATACCCTCCTCAAGGAAGGGGGCAGTTGGGGTTCCTGGAAGGACTGGGAACCTGAGGACTTTATGGACAGCTATAGACTTATTGCCTTTATGGATTACTGCCAGTAATAGACTCTATAGGGAATTCTTGCTACCTCTCTGGATTATTTGTCTTGATGGACTCTTGCCCCTAAAGGACTGCGGGCCTGCTGCTACTCAGGTATGATTACCCAAATGACCCTTAGGGACAGGGGCGGTCTGACCATTTGGAAACTCGGGCACTGCCCGAGGGCCCGGGGTCAGTAGGGGGCCCCATGAGATGCCCCTGGTACCTTTTTCATAGGCTTTTTTAAATTAGGCAAGGACACACGGGCCCCATGATCCCCTATTGCCCGGGGGCCCCATGAGTTGTCAGTCCGCCCCTGCTTAGGGAACCTCTATACAGGACTGTATGTGAAGCTGTTACAAGAACTTTTTCTGTATGTTTTACACTACCTCAGTAGAGATCGTTTGTTGTTCCTTTAAAAGCCTGGTCTGAATCCTGCCAAAAGGGTACAATGCATGGCTTATCTAAAGAACAGGTATTATATTAGGAGTCTGTAGGTTAGAGTAGATAGCAGGGGTGGACTGACCGTTTGGAAACTCGGGCATTGCCCGAGGGCCCGGGGTCAGTAGGGGGCCCCATGAGATGCCCCTGGTACCTTTTTCATAGGCTTTTTTGAGTTTGGGCAAGGACACAGGGGCCCCATGATTCTATTGCCCGGGGGCCCCATGAGTTGTCAGTCCGCCCCTGGTAGATAGAGTACATTTTAGTCCAACATTTAGTTTGCTGTCTAGTGTAGGCTATAGTGCCATTGCTAGGGATAACCATGTATGTATCATTGCTAAACAGCCAACCAGTCAGGGAATAGGTGACTTGCCCTAGGGTGACAATTATTCTGGTAGTGAAGGGATGTTATGCCTGGGCCCTTCACTAGCAGCTGGTTCTGGATCTGTGGCACAGTGTAGTTAGGGACCTAGACTGGAGGTCACAGGAGAGAGAAAAATGTAGAGGGGCCCCTGGGAGAGAACAAGCATGTAGTGGTGAGTGACGTGCATTCCATGTATCCAGTAGCAACAGTTGGACCATCACTGGGAGTGAGTTGACAGGAATTGCTGGGTTGGTGGATGCCAGTACAGGATCTGCGGTACTGGTCCTAAATGCTACACACTTGGGAGTAGTGTTTCCTAACTGTAGTGGTGTCTACAGTGCTTAGTGTTGGCAGTATAACAAGTTAGCCATGGGTTACTAGTGGGTTAACTGTGTTAGTTGTTGCTCTCTTCTAAGTCTGGAGTTATGCCTTAATGCTGATTCCACATGACCACAAACTCCTGCCTAGTGTTTAGACAAGTAACCAGTGTAGTTCTCAGTGTCCCCGCTAGGGTGCCTTAAGCCCCACCCACAAGCATACTTCTGGTCAGCACATGAACTGACTGGCTATACAATGGAATTAACTCTTTCTAGAGGAGTCACATTTTGTTAACAGTTCAACCAGGGGCTGAAGGAAAGAAAGTTGCTTGAATTCCTCATCAACACAGCCAGTGTTCATGGTGGAATCCCTCCAGTTTCCCCACTGTTAAAATACAATGATCACTGATGGTGGCTGTAGTCACCGGCAGTAATCACATGAAAAAAAAACTGACAGGCTGGTGAGTATAACCAGCCTGCCCATAGATGATATGAAATCTGGCTGGTTATTGCTGAACCAGCCAATTTTCATTCCGTCTATGGCCAGCTATACGTAGGTAGATTTTCTATTGTGACACACTGCTCACCTAGAAGCCCTAAGGTGCATATATAGTGGCTAAATGGTTAGCACTTCTGCCTGGCAGTACTAGGGTTGTTGGTTCAAATCCAGGCACCACTTGCCTGGAGTTTGTATGTTCTCCCTGTGCCTGCATGGATTTGCTCCCACACTCCAAAGACATGCTGGTAGGTTAATAGAACCCTGTCTTACCCTAAGTTCACACCTAAGCATTTTCTGTAGCTTATTGCAGAAACACAGTACAGTCCATTTAACATAATTTCCTATGGGACATGTTCACATCTGCGTGTTTTCACCCGGTGCGTTTTTTTTGGAAAGGGTCAGGGACTTTTTTGAATGCAAAAAGTTGCATTTTTGGTTCTATAGACTTTAATCGAAATGCTGCAGAAAGCATGTAGTGTGTTTTTGTTGCGTTTTTGCCATGTTTTTGATGTGTTTTCCATTTTAAATCTGCCTAGCAACAAGAGAAAAAAAACACGTGAAAAGCGCAAAACGCAATGCAGAAACGGCTCAAACGCAAACTGCCTGTGTGAACCTAGCCTAAATTGTCCCTAGTATGTGTATATATGAATGTAAGTTAGGGACCTTAGATTGCACACCCCTTGAGGGTTAGCGACTGATGTGAATGTACAATATATATGTAAAACGCTACGTTTTATTGACGGCGCTATATAAGTACCTGGAATAAATAATAATACTAGGTGAATATAAAATGTAATGCACCTGATATGCATCTGAACCACTCCAACTATTGCTGTCTGTGTCACCATTATGGAAATCCCCACCTCTCAGTTCCTGATCAAACAGTACAAGAAGTCTGGAAATCTCCCTAATGGGGACAGGCAGCAATAAAAAAGCCCAGCAGAGGTTCCCCTATTCTGTCCAATATTTAAAAAAAAAGTTATGTTTTGAAAGTGGATATGTGAGTGTAAGAGGCGTATCTTTATGTACACACAGATACTGCAATGACAAGATCGTGGTTATAAAGAGATGTATTGACATACAGTGCAGAATAATATGAAAAGGTAATTTCCAGACTTATTTGAAAAATTTTTTAGGTTTGAATGTTGGAGGTTCTCGTGATAGCAATATGAGCCTTGTGAAACCCTTGTGTCCTGCTGACAGCATAACGCCTCCTAGGTTTGTTTATACTGCCTGTTCTTATTGTTACTACAACAGAAGTGTCACCTACACACCAGTGCAAGGCTCCATATACACAGGACACTTCTGAATGATGGAAACTGACTGCTGGAAAACGTAGGTTAAAAAACGGCTGTTTAGCTGCATTTGCATACCGCGTTTATGAACGTTTGTGTTTAGAAGCGTTTTTTAAAGATAACCTCAGGAGACCTTCCAAAATGCCCAGAATGCACTGAAAAACAGTAATAAATTAACTATTTCAGACATTTTGAGAGAAATAGAGAGAGCAGAAACAGAGAGAGCAGTATGTGTTGAGATTAGCTGTCTTTTTTTTGTGGTGTTTGGATGTGTTCCAGCTCATTTCTGTGTAGAAATTATTGCAGCAGTGTCTAACATATTTTCTTTTATGCAAAACCTCAAAGTATGGTGTACCAGGTCCATTTGAGTATCGGGAAAATGCATTGCATGCATTTTTCATGATGAAAAAAGGCTCTGGACAGCATCTGGAAATGGAAGAGTTAAAAAAAGTTGCAAACGCTTATAAACGCGGTTAGCCGCATTTACAAGTGTTTGGCATTTGAAACGCTGATAAAATCTACTCCTGAACACAAGTTTGTTGTGTTAAAAAAAAACAACTGTAAACCCAACTGCCTGTAAACGACATAGTGTACATGGCCACATAGGAAAACATTAGGGAGAGTTCAGGGGCTGCTGAAAAAAAATGCAGAAAAGCTCCTAAACGTGAGTTTATCAGCTGCAGTGTACATGGAGCCTAATACATGAATCTGAGCGAGTCAGCTTTATGTTACTACTTAAGGATCAGGCTTTTTCTGCCACTTTTTGTTCACATGTAACAATCAGGTTTTTTTTTTTCCACAAAATTACTTATAACCCCCAAACATTATATTTTTTACCCACTTGCCCTCCAGAGGATTTACCCCCTTCCTGACCAGGCCATTTTTTTTGCGATACAGCGCTTACTTTAACTGGGAATTCCGTGGTCACGCAACACTGTACATAAATTAACTTTATGTCATTTTTTTCCCCCATAGATAGAGCTTTCTTTCTGTGGTATTTGATTATCTTCTGCATTTTTATTTTTTGAAGTATAAACAAAAAAGGAACAATTTTGAGAATAAAAAAACAATATTGTTGACTTTTTGCTATAAAACATATCCAATAAAAAAAATGATAAAACTCATATTTTTAATACATTTTGTCACCATTGTAGAGGCTTCCATCTTCACCCGTCCTCCTTCCGGGTTCACGAGCTACGGCATTCTGACAGGCCAGACCACGATGACGTCGCTCCCGCACATGCGCGTGTGAGTCCCGGGCCACGGCACACTGATCTGAAGAAACGGCATGGGTATGCTGTTCCTTCAGAGCGCATGCACTGGATTAAATGACGAGAGAATATCTCCTGAACAGTCGCGTTTAGGAGATATTCATTTTACCTACAAGTGAGCTTTATGACAAGCTTTCCTGTAGGTAAAATTAAAAAAAACAGAATTTACAACCACTTTAAGTGAAATCACTTTCTAAGCTGGCCCTAAATGAATCATTTCAATCCATCTGTGGGCAGGCTGGCTGTACTGAAGTCGATCCCTCAATGAGGAGGTTAAAGTGGAGCTTCACCCACCCGCTTTAAGGACTGCTCCCCTGCCCCCCATTAAGGATTGGCACCTTTGGGGAGTGGGGGCAAAGCGGGTACCCCAATTTAACAGGTACCCGCTCCCACTTCCGGTCCGATCGCCTAGGTGTCCTTCCTCCCTGTAGTCTTTTGGGACACGTGACAGGTCCCAGAAGACTACAGGGCCATTCACGAAGTGCAGCACTACTCGAGCATGCGCAGTGGGTACCCAGCTGTGAAGCCGCAAGCAGTCACAGCCGGGTGCCCACACTGAAGATGCCGGCCTCCTGGAATACAGGACGGCCGGTGAAACGAGCTGCGGGGGACACACTGCGGGACCGAGGGACAGGTAAGTGGCCGTTTTTTAAAAGTCAGCAGCTACAGTGTTTGTAGCTACTGACTTTTATTTTTTGACTGGCTGAGTGGAACTCCGCTTTAATATACAGGTCACTGAAGAGAAAGTCAGTGCATGGCAGAGGAGGGGGGGGGGGGGGTGAAAGGGTTAAACAAAGTTACTTGAATCAGTTGCTTCCTCTGACCTCTGCTTTTATCTGGAACTAATAGATGACTCATTGATTCATTGGTTCCTCTTTCCTCCCCTTCTTCTGTTATAGGACTACACTATTTACAACATTTTGGTTGAAATGACTGGCAATAGGATCTTTTTAAAGGGTGAGCCCTCATGCACACGGGACGTTTTTACAGCGGCTGTTTTTGGCTATTGACGTTTTTTTTCTACAGCCAGTAAACCCCCCAGCATGTTATCCTATGTGTCCATGCACACAGCCTGAAATCAACGTTTTTTCGGCTAGGATGTTTTTTGGCTGGAAAAAAACCCCAGGACTAGTGGGTTTCTAGAGGAGATTTTTAGCTGTAGAAACGCTCTAACGCTGAAAAACTTTGCAAAACGCGGTAAAATGCCGCAAACTGGCGTTTATGGACTTTTTTTAACCAACAACAATTTTTTTTGGTCAAAAAAAGCTAAAAAATGCAAATGTGTAAAAAAGCTGGAAAACGTGGAGAACGCTGCTAAACACAGCTAACGTTACCAGCGTTATCAAACCGTCCCGTGTGCATGAGGAATAAAGGGTAATTTCTCAGCAAAAGTGGAATTACATTTTAATGCTGGGGGTTCACACCCGAGTGTAGCAGGAACTTGCATTTTTTTGCGAATTTTGGGGCATTTTTGCTCATCATACCCTAAGTGTGATAAATACCCCAAAGATATTCCAAAACCTTTTTTGGAGCAGAGCGTTTTTTTCATCGCCCATTTTGGCATGTTTGTAGAGCTTTTACCTCGTGGCAAAACGCACTAAAAATGCACCCTTGCTACACCACACTTGGGGTGTCATTAACAATTAATGGCACCACAAGCACAATGCGTACTTGCATCACATTTACAAAATGCACATTTTCTGTTCACGCATTATAGAAAGTGTGAATGTAGCCTAAGTGAAGCTTTTCCCTGTCCATTCATAGTGACCCCCCTAGTTCCCCCTAAGTGGAGTACCAGCTTCAACCTAACTAGCCTTAAACCTGCCCCCCCCCCTGACCTGTGTAAGAAATTTGTGTATACTTACCTATTTTCAGTCTGCTCCAATCCAGTCATGTGATCCGGCTCCCCTGTGTCAGCCAGCAGCAGCTGCAGGGAAGAAGAGGGAGCACCAACAATGGATGGCCTATAGGAGCCTATGAGTGGGGTCGTTCCCAGGCATTGCCAGTCATTTTCAAACATTCTCTCCTCTCCCCTGCCACTGCTTGACACGAGGGAGGTCACATGCCCGGATCAGAGTGGGCTTAAAATAGGTAAGTATATGTATGGTTTTTACACAGGTTGGTCAGCATAGGTGTTAGGAGGGGGGAGGGGACATTTTTAAAGCTAGTTAGGTTTAGGCTGGAATTCTACTTTAACTACAATTTGTTTCCCCACCACTCTTTTTGCTAGCAGAATTACATACATTTTCAAAACCCTCAAACCTGTACCGCAAGGGTTAATTGCTCCCTTTGGTCTAGGGGACATAGAAAAGAAGATTTTTTTTGTCCATCCTCCACTCACCCTGGCTAGACCAGTTCTACATTCCTGTTTTCTAAAGTCCTGATGTCAACAAGACCAAAGCAACATTAACCACTGAGGCTCTGCAAGGTTTTACCCTCTTAATGACCAAGCAATTTTTTTCTATTCGACACTGCGCTATTTTGACTGGCAATTGCTCGGTTATGCAACACTGTACCCAAATGAATTTTTTAAAATCTTCACACAAATAGAGTTTTCTTTTGGTGGTATTTGATTACCACTGAGTTTTTATTTCTTATTACATAAACAAAAAAATACCCAAATTTTGGGGAAAAAAATATATCTTATATTATATATACATTCTGGTATGAAACATATCCAATACAATCAAATTTCTCTATAAATGTAAGCCAACATGTATTCTACTACATGCCTTTGGTTAAAAAAAATCCCAATAAGTATATATTAATTGGTTTGTGTGAAAGTCATAGTGTCTACAAACTATGGTATATAAATTAGAAAATTGATCAATTCTGTTGCCTGTCTCATTTCTTGAGGCCCTTAAAATACCAGGACAGTACCCTTCAAATAACCCTTTTTTGGAAAGTAGACAATCTGTGGTATTTAGTAAAAAAAGGCATGGCAAGTTTTTTAAAGTTGCAATTTATTTGTTACAATTTTTTTGGAAAAATAAAAAAAAAATTTCACATTTTTTTAAAATACTAGTGCAGTACAGCATCATCATATAACTGGTGTGGTGGTAATTAGGGACAATGACTGGTGACAGTATGTTAAAAAAATATAAAATGTTTTATTCAATGTTTTAATTTTTTTAACAATTTTTTTACAATTTTTTCTTACATACTTTCATCACAGTAGTTCAGTGTCACCATAGTAACACTTTACTATTCTGGGGTGGTGATCAGGTATTTTTTTTTGTGTTTACACTTTGCTGTTAAAATGAAAGTAAACTTTTCTCATATTCTACCTACGGGTTACCTGTAGGTTCTGTAAATATCTCCTAAACATGCACCATTTAGGAGATATTTACTCTAGAAGCGCCGGTCATACGCACTGCTCTCTCAATGGACGGCATGCCATCCATTGAGAGAGCTGTGCCGCCGCTGAAACTCAATTCATTCATGCACAGGAGTGACAACATCGTGGCCCAGCCAATCAGATGTTCGCAACTCCTGAAGGGAAGACCGGGTGAAGATGGAAACCTCGGGGAGCCATGACAGCGCTCTGCTTGAGTGCTTCATTTTCAGGTAAGTCTTTTATATTGTGTAGTATGTGACGCATACTAGTACATTATGCTCTTAGCTTGCAGGGAGAAGATTTTTTTAAAAATTGTTGTCGAGGTTTACTACTGCTTTAATGGTGATCCTTGTAACAGCAATGCTTTGAACTGTCATGAATGAGTTTCATTCACAACAGCTGTGATTACTAGTGATCTGTGATTGGCTATAGCTAATTACATGGTACAGGGTGCTGTGATCGGCCCAGGTACCATGTGATAACTATGGGTCAATCACAGCTCACTGGTAAAGGAAGCAGAGCTGTCATGAATGAGATTCATTCAAAACAGCTTTGTTGAAATTGTGATTGAGCGATCACATGATCTGTGGTGGATCGCTTGCTACTAAGGGTTCATGTACACTGCAGCTGATAAACTCACGTTCAGGAGCTTTTTTGTGTTTTTTTCAGCAGCTACTGAACTCACCCTAATGTTTTCCTATGTGTCCATGTACACTGTCATTTACAGTTGTTTACAGGCAGTTGAGTTTACAGTCGTTTTTTTGAACGCACCAAACTTGCGTTCAGGAGTAGATTCTATCAGCATTTCAAATGCCAAATGCTTGTAAATGCGGCTAACCACGTTTATCAACGTTTGCTATAAGAAGCGTTTTTTAACTGTTCCATATCCAGATGCTGTGCAGAGCCTTTTTTCATCATCAGAGATGCATGCAAAGCGTTTGCCATGTATACAAGTGGATCTAGCACACCAGCGCAGTCAGTTCCAGGTTTTGCATGAAGGAAAAAATGGTAGAACGTGCCGCATTATGCTCATGATGGGATCCATAGTGAATACATCCAGAAAAGGTAGGTCATTTCAACACATACTGCTCTCTCTGCTTCTGCTCTCTCTATTTCTCTCAAAATGTCTAAAATAGTTAATATTTTACTGTTTTTCAGTGCATCCTGGGCATTTTGTAAGGTCTCCTGATGTTATCTTTAAAAACGCTTCTAAACGCAAACATGCATAAATGCGGTATGCAAATGTGGCTAAACAGATGCTTTTTTAACCTACATTTTCCAGCAGTCAGTTTCCATCGTTCAGAAGTGTTTTCCAAACGTCCTGTGTACATGGAGCCTAAACATGTGCAAGCTGATGATGTACATGTACATGATCCAGCCTACATGTGCTGTCTGCCCGCAGTAAATGTACTGTGGGTGGTTAGCAAGTGCTTAGAGCCCTGCATTGGACGTGATGAGGGACAGTCCAACATTGTATTTTAGAATACACTGATCAGCGGCAGTAGATGATTGGCTGCAACTAATGATCGAGAAAATTTTTTCCAACATTCTCGACAGAAATTAATCAACCAATTGACTTCTGTCGAGCAGGGACAGCCACATACTGATCAAATGTTTACATACCCTGAAATGTTTGGCCTTGGTATAGACACACAAGGTGATTTCTGTTATGATGATTTAAAGCGGAGTTCCAGACGTTTTTGTGTTTATTAAAAAGTCAGCAGCTATAAAAACTGTAGCTGCTGACTTTTAATAAACACACACTTACCTATCCCAGAGTCAAGTGATGTTCTCAACCGCGCTATCACTTCTCCCCTTCTTTCCTCCATGGCGCTGGAATCTCAAATGTGGGCATCAGGCTGTGACGGCTTCACATGCCCACTGTGCATGCGCAAGTCGTGCTGCACCTTCTTATTGGTCTGGCAGTTTCCTGGGACCTGTGAAAGTTCCCAGGAGACTGAGGGAGGGAGGAGGGGGTCGAACTTTTGGCTCACTTTGCCGTGGTGAACTGAGCTGGAAGTGGGAGCGGGTACCTGTCAAAACCAGGTACCCACCCCCCCCAAAAAGGTGCCAAATATGGTGGGGGGGGAGGCAAATAAGCGAAGCTTCCACTTTTGAGAAAAAAGGAGCCAAACAACTATGTGATAATAAATGGCTTTATATGATCACTAACCTTAAATAAAAGACAGTTTTTCAATTTTTCAATATCAATGCCAAAATTTCACTATTTCTGCCAAGGTGTGCAAACTTTTGGGCACAACTGTATATTTATTGTATATGCA